AGCATGCCAAACCGGGTTCAAGAATGCATCGACGCAGGAGGAGGCCATACAAAATATTAATTATATAATAAAAAATGTTGAGTCAGTATTACTCTTTAAATAATAAAAAAAAACAATTGCAATTAATAATAAAAATTTTTCATACCTTCAAAAAATGTGTCCGCCATTCTTTTCGCCGGGGACTGTATGTATATGGATTAATTTATGAGTATATTCATCACCTGCGAGGATTTGGCCTTAGTGATAGAGTATTTCTGATTTAACTGTTTTATTGCTTTTTCAATATCCATTTCAACTTCCAATGAAATTGTAAAGATTCATTTTGCAATCCCATCACATATCTCGAACTTATCTTTTAAGGATTTTAGAGTCAATTTTTCTTTATATAGATAGTTCCAACAGTCTTCAAGCTCATATTCATTCCACGTTGGCATGAATAGTTCTCTGCACCATTGCTTTACAAAATCTCCAATTATTGCTTTTTTGATGAACTCAACATAATTAACCTTCATTAGAAAAATCATGACCCACTTGGTCCCTTTTTCCGTCGATTATACACCAGACATTTGGTTGTTCCGCCATTTGTCTGAATAGTTCTTTTGCCGTTTACATAAGTTATTTCACCTGATGGTTTAATCCGTATCGTAAAAGTTTCACAATCTAACAAAACAGTATTATCCTTTTTAAGGAGCTCTATTAGCATTAACCTTCCAAAGAATGTTTTTCCGATACCTGGATTACCAGTAATAAGGTATCGCTTGAATTCTGTATCTTCGAGTATAAAATTACATAAATATTTATAACACTCTCGGTTATAAATATCCGTATCTTCATTTTCCCCTGGTAATCTTGGAATTTTGAATACTTTATCCTGTGTGTTGATCTTTGGTAAGCTATTTACTAAATTTCGAAGCTTTTCCTTATCTGGAAAAGATACAAGTCAAGTTGGGGTTTTTTATTTAATTAAGGTCAACATTAAAAGAAAAATACCTTGTTTTTCTTCTTCCTCGTCCTCTACCAATTTCCTTTTCCCTAATCGAATAAAAAGATGTGAGATAACGCGTATTTCTTTTTCGAGAGGTAAACCGTTAGGAGACACTTACAGGAGGCGGCGGGCGAAGGCGGTTGCACGAGGATGTTGATTGAGGATGATGGTTTATCAAGGTTTTTAAATATTTTGAAATTTCGTCTACTGGTAACATTTCATTTCCTTCAAGATCTCGTTCAATGTTAATTGTATCAAACGTGTCAAGCATCTTCAGTTTATCGTTTTCACCGTCGAAAGGAATATCAACTTTCCATAATATGAGGTCGTTTTCGTCAATACTTTTATTGGAAAAGGTGTTCTTCTTCTTATCATAGATAGCATTCCTGAGTATCATAACGCGTTCTGAGAAATCGAACTTAACGAAATCAAGTTTCCTTTTAGCGGGAACTTCACCTAGAACAAGATAATATGCCATGGTATATCTGCAATCGTGAAAATCGAGAGTTAAAAACAAGGTTCAAAAAGTAATTTTTCAGTAAAAAGACCTTATGGAAACGTTAGACGCGAAAATTCCTCGTTTTTAGATTGTACCCAGAATGGCGAAGGTACTCGAAATAGCGAAGGATAATTTGACATAATTATGTGCCATATATATATATATGTTACCATAAACGGTTGTTGACTAATTATTACTAACTGTGAATCAGTTTGACTCTTTTCTTAATTACGAAAAAAATTTTTATCAAAATTGATCGTTCGCACAATCCAATTTTTGATCGGCATCCAATAAATTTATTTGAACTTTTTGTTAATAACGGCACATTTTTTTTTTGTAAAATGACATACCGACAAAATAGTTGTTGTTGTTGAGGAAGAAGGGAAGAAGTTTTGGTTGTTGCTATTGAGTAAGAGGAAGAATTTTTCGTGGTGGTTGTTGCTGAAGGAAATTTTATTTGGTAATTGTTTTAAAGTTTGTGTTGAACGCGTGTTTGCAAAATCGGGTCACTGATCAGGTCACACAATTCAAAACCCGATCAAAAATCCGAACGATCGACTATGATTGTTGTAGCTATGCCTTTGACTTTAGAATTAGATGGCTTTTTTAAACTTCCACTAGATTTTTTGTTCAGAAATTTCAAGAACCTTATTAGGCGGAAACATAAATTTCGGGGCTTTACTAAAGGTTAATTAGTAAAAAATCAGGTTTCAATTTTTTATTGAAGATTTTAAATATAGGATGAATATTATAATAATTTCAAATTTTTGATAGTTCTATAATATTTATACAGTATAATATCTTAAAGATTTTTTGAAACATTTTATAAGTATCATTAAATAATATGATATGCTTCAGATAAAAATAGATGCATATGATATATAATTTATTTATTATATTATTTATTTTGTTATCATTTTATTACAATAATAATTACATATATAATATTGTTTATTAAAAATATAAATAAAATATTATAATTTTATATAAATAAGTAATTAATTAATTAATATTAATATTTAATAAATATACAATTAATTTTCAATTTCAATAATATTATATTATTACATTGTTAATTATTTTCATCATCATCATATTAACCATCATCATATCAATTATTATCATCATTATATAATTGTAAATTGACTAATTCAATGCATTTTCTGATGATTTAGATCTATTAAACCATTTTTATTATTATATTAATAATAACATAAAACTTTTACATAACTTATATTTTTTCTAACTTTATTAGCTAAATAAAGTAAAGTTTGTATATATTAAATTAATAAAAAAATAATAAAATAAATTAAATAAATAATTTGTAATTTGTTTTATTTGATACTTATATAGCATGATCTTTAAATTTTATTATATATATGAAGAACATATCTATTTGTTTTCTTTTTATTTTTAAGTTAAATACAGTCTTTAATTTCTTTTAGTGAATTTATTAACTATTTCAGAATTTTTGTTATTGTAAAATCCTTTTTATTTATTATAATTTTACAATCTTTTTTAAAATCATCTTAAGATAAAGAAAATGATTGAAATTCTTTAAATAAAGAATCTTTAATGTTAAACATATGAGAAATTCTTTTTTGTTATTATTCTTTTTTCTAATATTAATCAAATATATTAAATTTTGTTTTTTTTTTTTTTCTTTTAAATTTAGTCTTACACAAATTAAGGCTAACAGTCTAATTATCTCTATGATAATGATATAAATTTTATAAAATTCACTTCAATTCAATATTTTTATTCTGAAATTTTTTAGTTAAAGCTTTACTAATCTCTTTTATAGTGTATTGCAAAATATAATATATATATGATTCATTATTAAAACTGATAGAATTTAAATAATTTTATTCTTATTTTAATAAAAAATAGTTAACAATTAATAAATTTATTAAAGATTAATAATTACTTATTACTTATATAGAATGACCTATATTATTTTTCATTTATTTCTTTAAAAATTATCTGAACATATTGGTGATATTTAGTTTCTAATTCTGATGTAATTAATGCATTTATTTGTTTATTTTTTAAAAGAGGGGTTAATGTTTGAAGAGTTAATAAGACTGATGTATTAAAATAACTTGATAATACTAGTAATTTACTTTATATTAATTAAAATTCCTTAAACCTTTTCTGTAAGCTCTGCTTAGAATTTTAATATCTACAAATTAAAATATTAAAATTATATAAAAAATGGATAATTGAATGATAACACTTATACTATTATCTTTATTATATCTTAAAGATGAATTAGCTAATAACTTATTTCTAATGTATCTTACAGATAAACTATTCTTATTAAATTTATAGAATATTGACTCTCTAAATGCTTAGTAAATAACTATAGCTTAGCAATGATCTTTTTGAATATCTAGAACAGTTTCTTCTTGCTGAATAGGAATAAAAACAAGAATAATAATAACTCTTTTATATTAATATAATATATTAATGATTGTATATAATGAATATAATAATAATTATAAAGGTGTAAATCTATAATAATTAAATAATCTGTATTAATTTAAAGAATTTTTAATCATGATATATATTGATCAAAAAATAAAATAAAAACTATAAAATGAACAAATCACATAAATAAGATAAAAGTTATTTTTTATATCTTTTTATTTACACAATTATATAAATAAAGACTAAATAATACATTAAGAAAAAAAGAGTTAGATTATAGAGAAAAGAAGATTAAATAATATATTATCAAATATAATATTTTTATATACTTTTTCTATCTGATTAACTTATTAAAAGTATTAAAATAGTTTATTAAAATATTTAATTAAATTTAATAAAATTTAATCATATAGGCTCTTTGCAATAGAAAGGGGGAAAACTACCTAATAGTAGTTTTTGAGATAAATCAGTTTTTGTGAAATAAACAAAAGAAGTAAGGTGATACTAAAAATAAAATGCACGATTGACTCATAAATTGCGAATGTCAATCATTGCCAAAATAAAGAATACAAGCAATATTCTTTGCAATTATCTGCAAAACTCTTAGAGAATCGCAAATTTTTTGCAAAATCTCTTAGAGATTCGCCTTTATCTGCAAAACTCTTAGAGAATCGCAAATTTTTTTGCGAAATCTCTTAGAGATTCACCTTTATCTGTAAAACTCTTAGAGAATCGCAAATTTTTTTGTGAAATCTCTTAGAGATTCGCCTTTATCTGCGAAACTCTTAGAGAATCGCAAATTTTTTTGTGAAATCTCTTAGAGATTTGCAATTATTTACGTAACTTTTAGAGAATTGCAAATTTCTTTGCGAAATCTTTTAGAGATTCGCAAAACTATAAATAATCTTAAATTATGAGTCGCATGATTATACATCAACTCATGAATTAGGTAGTTTTAAATCTATAAATAGATATGCAGTTTTTTATGAATTATTTGAATTATTTAAAAATTTTATTATGTAACCTGTCCTACTTTAATATACCAAAAATATTCCTCTAGCCACATTATATTAAATGTTCTCATTGGTTCATTTTTTAATTTTTCAGCCGTTTCCCCCCTTTCTATTGCAAAGGGCCCATATATTAAAGAAATTATATATACTTTTAAAGAAGTATATTAAATTATTTTTAGATATGTTCATAAAAATATATTAAGTACGTGATCAGCATCCTTTAATTATTAAATCTTCTTTTGATAGTATAAACTTTTTTTATTAGATTATGAAATAACTGATCAATACTTTCTAAAAAGTTTTGTTACTTTTAAAAAATCTAATATTGGTATTTTATATAATTACATATATTATAATAATAATTTGTATAATAGTAACATTCTAGCATATAATTATAGTTATCATAGTTTTTGTTTATAGAAAATTCATTTTAAATATTTTATATATCTAAACTATTTTCAGGATAAAGTTAAGAATAATATTAATACATTAATAAGTCTAATAAAAGAAATAAATATTGAAAATAATTCTATTAATAATAATATTAAAAAATTGGATGAAGTAGTTTAAATGATATAAAAGAAATGACATATAATATCATAATATTATATGTAACTGATTAATAAAATTATGAGATTTTGATATATCATATAATAATTAACCTATAAAATTCAGCTTTAATTTAATTAATAAAAATTAAAATAATGTAAAAACAATTGCAGGATCATAAATTTATAAAAATTATAAAATTATTTTATTTTTATACATCAATATTTAAGAAAAAATAATAATTAATTAATGTAATTATTATAATTATTTTAATTAATATAATATAATTAAAATATTTTATATATAAAAATTGTAAATATAACACTTTATAGTTTAAAAAATAAACTTTTTTTACATTTTAATAAATTTTTATTAAAATCAGAATTTATATAATCTAAATAGTCTCTCCTAGTATTAACAATTTTCTCTAGTATTACTACTAAGTTTTTCATCCTCATATGATCATAGAAATATTTATCATTCTGTGTTATATTGAAGTATTCTATTAATATAAATCAAATATTATTAAGTATCATTTAAATATTTATTATTAGAGATTTTTTTATAATCTAATAGATTAAATTTGCTTTATAATAATAATCTTCTCACCAGTGTATAAAATTTGAACCAAAAGTTATGTGCACAAGTTGTACTAAAAATAGAAAATTAATGCATGTATTACATAGTATTTCCATTTTTATAAATAATTTATCCATTTTTATATATAATTTATCTATTTTTAGTAATTATTTGTGCACATTTTATGCTGTGTAATATGTGCACATAAAAATTTAATGTGCACATGTACACATTGTGCACATGAATTTTATACACTGCTTTTCACTAAAATCTATACATTTTTAAACTTTAATAACTTAAGATTCTTCTTAATATTTTTCTTCAAATTTTATAAAAATATTTTAAATTAGTCTCTTTCATATAACAACTAGTTTTTTTAAAAAATAATTTTATTTACATTTCAAAAAATAATGAATAAATCTTTTTATACACAGTTCTCTAAATAAAAATTTTTTCTTTGTTATTTTTCAAGAAAGTGAGATATCACATATTTTTAGATTATAAATTATTTATTTACAATTTCATTTATCTAAATGCTAATATATACCCAAGTTATTAAACATTAAAGATTAGAATTTTTATTAGAAAAAATTGTAATAATAGTAGTAAATAATTAGGTTTGATATATATGCTTTGCAAAAATCTCTAATAGTAAATTTTTATATGATATTTAACAATGTATTGATTTACATAGTTCATGGAACACCCTAGTATCACACCCTTTGTGTTTCCATTTTCTGAAAACAATTTTTTCGAAATCATATTTGTCACATTTTATTCGTCACAGGTTAATTTCTTAATGCCGTAATGCCGGCCAAACGTCACGTGGAAGTGAATACTTGGTGGTAATCCTGTTGCTGTGTTGGCATATGATATCATATGACTTTTATGACTTTTATGAATCATTAATCATTTGTTATTTGTTATATAACTTTATCGTATGACTTATTTAGGGCACTATATATTTAATTCTATAAAAGGCAATTGCCTTTATTTTTTCCAAAAACTTAAAATGAAAATAATGAAAATATAAATAATTATAATTTATAAAGCTAGCTGAAATTGGAGATTTCATAACACTTTATGACATATGACAATATAGTCATATGACTTATGACTATGATTTGAAATAATTTTAATAATTTTGACATATGCTAGAGTCGTGCAGATGTTCAAATCGGTTGTTATTGTTTTTGTTTGAGACAGTTGTTTTAACTTTTTTGTGCAGATGCAGGTGCAAATCGCAGACTATCATTTTTTTTTTGATGTTAAAACAAGATCCAAATAATATATATAATATTTTTAGCCTCATCGGGTTATACTTTGCATAATATTTAACTTTAAATTGCAATATATATTCGTGATAAAATCGAATGCAGTAGTTTTTAAAATTTACAAAATATCGATTCTTAAAAATTTAAATTTTATTGAAAAAAATGTCGTGGAGAACTGATATCCGTGCCGTGGTTGGTTTAGGTAAGTAAGCACTTACAAATCGTGGAATAAAGCATAATATTCTTTACTTGATATATTATATACGTGAATTCCTTTACAGATTTTGGGACCACCTATTCGGTAAATTATCGCAATACTCTTTTATAAAGAAATCACTTATATATTAAAATTGAATTTCAAATAGGGGTTTACTTATTGTCATGTTTCTGACAAACAAAATATATGTACTAATGATACTTGGCCTGGAGAGATGGTGCTTTTTTAACCTATTTTATTTTATTTATAGTCTTTAGAAAGCTAATTGTTTTTATCTGATTTGAAAGGCTCAATTAAAAACCAATACTGTGTTACAATATGACGATAAATTGGAAAATATCTCAGAATGGGGACTTCCCGCACTATCTAAACGTCCAAATCGAAAGAAGAAAAATGATCATGATAACAAACCAGTAGAACTATTTAAATTACATTTGGGCAATTTACAAGACCATCTTAAACCTAAACTTACTGTCGAATATAAGAAAGCAATTACTGATTATCTTCGTGAAATTGGAAATGTAAGTAAAAAATCGGGAAATCGGGTTTTTATAAATTCAAATTTTTATTTTTTAAAAAAAATTTAAAGCTGATCAAAGATACCGTGACGACTACTTGGCCTGGAATCGATTATTACAAAAATGTTATGCTGGTCCTTACCGTTCCCGCCGAGTACTCTGATAAAGCAAAAGCGATAATGAGAGAATGTGCACTCAATGCTGGTTTGCTTAGTGATAAGCTTACAGAACAATTACAATTTACTACGGAACGTAAGTAAAAAGAAAATAAAATAAAAAAAAATGATTATAAGTCAAACATGATTTCTTATTTATTCTTTATTTCGTTAGCTGAAGCTGCAGCAATTTATTGTATGGATAGCAGCTTGAAAGAACACGATTTGGCCGTTAGCGGAAGTGCGTAAAATGTCTTGATTTTACATTTTGACATGAGTTAATTTTCGTAATTTATTTTAGCTACTTTTATGATCGTTGATTGTGGAGGTGGAACTGTAGATTTGACAACACAAAAATTAGAAGACGAGAAACAATTAGGCGAAATTACGGAAAGAGCAGGAGATTATTGTGGGAGTACTTTTATCGATAAAGAGTTTGTCAAATACTTACGAGATAAACTTGGAAATAATGCCATAGATTTGTTAGAAGAGAAACATTATGGACAAATGCAATACATGGTACAAGAATTTTGTCGAAATGTTAAATTACCATTCACGGGAGATGATGTAAATTTTCAGTATGAAATGGATCTTGAAGAAGTTTCACCCGATTTATTACAATATGTAAAAGATGACGTTAAAGAGGCTTTGGAAAAGGTAGAATGGTTGATTAAGCTTGATTATAAGGCAATAAAATCAATGTTTGATCCCATTGTTGAAAGAATTTCACGTATGATTCGTGCACAACTCGATAATTCACGTGAAACGTGCTCAGCAATGTTTTTGGTTGGAGGTTTCAGTCAATCAAAATATTTACAAAAAAGAATTAAGGAAGAATTTAATGAATGCGTTGGAAATATTTCGGTTCCTTTAAATCCAATCGCTGCTATTTCGCGTGGTGCGGCAATCTATGGGATCAATCTTCATAATGCGGATAATTACAGTCCGGACGGAATCAAGTGCATCATAAGTTCTCGTGTATTGAAATTCACTTATGGCATCAAAACTGCATCAAAATGGAAAAAAGATGATCCGAAAGAAAGAAGAACTTTTGACGGACATATATATCGTTTTAGTTGTGTTGCAAAACGCGGAACTAAAACTTTAGTTGATAAAGAAATCGTTATTGATGATCTTATTCCTCAATATCCATTCCAAACTGTTGGTATCTTTCAAATTTATTACACGAGAGAATACGAAGCAAAATTTTGTGATGAAGATGGAATGGAGTTATTAGGAACACTTAAGATTGACCTTCCAGGTAGATAAAACTTTGATTCTTATTATTTTTAATTTAAATTTTAAGTTAACAATTAATATATTTGATAGATTTGGATCTTGGATACAATAGACCTGTTGCTTTTGGATTAAAATTTGGTAGTATGGAAATTACAGCGACTGCAAGAAATGATACAAATGGTCAAAATTATCAAACTACTTTTGAAATCGATACTGAGAATTAAATTTATCTAAACATTTTTTAATAATTTTTTCTTAATAAATAAAATAAGTAAAAAATCAATAAAATAAACATTTATTTTAAACTCGATCCCTTTTTTTTTTTTGAGAATTTTTACAAACCTTGAAATTTTTACACCCACAACTTTATCAGGTTCATTTTCTTCATTCCCTTCATTTCCTTTCTCATTTACTTGCTCATGTCCTTGCCCATTCTTCCTCATCTATACTACTTTAATCGATTGAACGCGCAATAATCTTGGCAGGTGTAATTACTTTATAATTTGAATTTGAATTCAAATCCCTTCCTACCAAAGGAAAATAACAAAGACCCACACAGATTTTCTCGAGTTGAACATCTTCCCAATTCCCATCCATTAAATCTGGATTAATCAGAGTATTACTTTCAATAAATTTATTTTGTAGCTCCGGTTCCTGTACCAAAAAACGAAACCAAAATATCCTGCACACATCACGAATAAGTTGTTGTGCCAGTTTTTCCACTTCTTTCTTCTTTTCTATATCATTTATTTGACGATATTTATTAATCTTTTCATTCAAAACGTGGCTGAAAATATGAATGAAATTATGAGAGCTAATACTTTTATCTTGTGGAGAAATAATATCGGAAAATCCGCGGTTACCAAGAATTCTGTAAATTTGTTGACGTATCTTTATTGTTGCAACGTTAGAAACTTCATCGGTTCCAACGCGAGTTTCTGAGAAATTTTTTATCAACAACAGCAATTCTTGTGCTTTTGAATCGATATCAGTTTCTAATGAATAATTTTCGTCTTTATAGAATCCATATTTAATTGAAAAGTTGAAAATTTGTTCTAACACTTCACGTTGTAAAATTGCCTTAATAAGTCGTTTGTTCGAGTTTTGTTCTGATATTAGGTTTTGACATTTATATTTTTTTATAAGAGTATTTACTTCTTTAACATTAATACTTATATTACCTTTCAAGTTTGTAACATAATGTTCCAATGTTCGCTGTAGATCTAATATATCTTGCTTAAGTTGAACTGAATGATTTTGATCATCGTTACCTAAACGAACATTTGTCGCAGCTCCAAGTGCTGATTGATATTTCGATGCCTCTTCTTTGAGCTCTCTGTTTATTTCCACAAGGTCACGAATATCCTTTTCTTTTTCGTTCAATTGATCTTGTAAAGTTGCAATATCATTCGGTGGGTCATGTGTTTTTGTTTCAAGTGCTGATTGATATTTCGATGTTTCTTCGTTGAGCTTTTGCTTAAGTTCACGAATAACCCTTTCTTTTTCGTTCAATTGATCTTGTAAATTATTTCTTAAATTTAAGATAATTTGATCGTTTGTTATTTGAGCATAAGTTTCGAATTTCTGTAATTTTTGTTTTAAATCTTTAATAATTTGTTCATAAAATTGTTTAGCCACAGTTAGTCCTTCTACTTGAAGTTTGTCGTTCATTAAATCAATGCATTTTTTGTTAAGGTTATCATAATTTCTTTCTAACATTTTATACAAGTTTTTCAATTGTAAAATATTTTCATCAAGAGAACAATTTTTATTTTCAAGCCTTTTTATATTGTCATTTTTTTTAAATTCTTCCGTAAGTTCATTGGGTTCGCTTAAATTTTTTTGTTCATCCAATTCTTTTCTTGATTGAGTTAAACTTTTATATTTCATTTCCATTTTATCATGATTGTCGTTCGAAGACATATTGATAATTTTTTTTTTTTTTAAAAAAAAAAATAATAATAATAATATATAACAAGAATAGCGTTGCATTATTTATATGTTTTTTATGTGATAATTAAGTGATTTTCAATTATCACTTTATTTTTATTGGATTTCGGCATTTTTAAATCATGTGGTAAATTAAGTTTATAAATAAATTAAAAAAGTAGGTAAAAGTTTTGTTAAATATCCAATTCGAATGTAGTTTCATATTTTTCACCAGTTTCGATATTAAAAGCGGTAGCGAGAATTTCAATCTCACCAAAACTTAAAGCAAATAATACCGCCCTTTTTATCGCTAAATGTTATGAGTAAATCAATACACCAATTACCGAGTAAATTTACACCAGGTGAATCGCAAAACTTTGCATCATTTTTATCGGTATAATACATATCTAGACCCATTCTATCTTGTAACATATGCCCTGGACTAAATATTCTATTTACCACAGAATCAACAGAAATTTCGGTCCCACGTTTTGCCAATTGTGAAAATTCGATAATTTGTCCACCCTGAAGTTTTCGACTTGGCGGGTCGCCTTTTCTCCAATTACAAGCGACATCAGTTCCTGATTTAAAAAAAAGCAAATGGCAAATTTTATTTCATATATCAATAAATATGAGATTTCTTAAAATCCATTAAGATTAAACATTACCATATGGGAAGTTTGCTAGGAAAATGGGGCTCTGGGAATTTTTTTGACTAAAATTAAGGCCTTATTACATTTTAATCTAATAACATCAAAAACTAAAATGCAATAAAAAACAAAATTTTTGTTAAAAAATTCCCAGAACCCCATTTTCCTAGCAAACCTCCCATATGTCCATTTCAAGACACGAGTGGCAACGATTGTTGGTTTCAATCCAAATTGAACGGCTTATTTATGAATCAAACTAAAGAAATCGATTCTTATGAAACTCATAAATTATGACTTCAATCAAAATATAATTAATTCATTAACTTACCCCTTTAACAATTGCTGTCATTGGATGTGTAGGTACAGATATATTCTTCACTTTCTTATTGAATTCTTGTTTGATTCTTGCTTTTAAGTATTTAGATTCACTGAAACCACCGACAAACAACATAGTTGCAGATTGTTGTTTGCGTCAAACGTATGATTTGTGCTACCACGGGATCAAACATTGATTTAACGTTCAATTCGACACACCATTCTGCTTCTTCCATCATATCGCGCTCTGAGCCTTTAACATATTGTTTAATAACTGGACATAATTCTTACAAATAAAATAATAAAAATAATTTGAGCATATAAAATTATTTTTGACAAATCTATCAAAAAAAAAAGGGTATCTTCTAAATCCAAGTCATAAGGGGTTAAATCTTTTTGCTGTCCTGTGAATGGAGTTTTAACTCGTCTACAAAATTCTTGTACCATGTATTGTAATTGACTATAATGGCTCTCTGTTAACATTTTAATGGCACTTTGACCAACTTTACGTCCAAGGAACTTAAGAAATTCCTCATAATATAACTTCCACCACAAAATTCGCTTTTTCTTTCGATGATTTCACTAAGTTGTTCAGCTTCCAAGAGTTTTCGAGTTGTCAAATCAACCGTACCACCGCCACAATCAACCACCATAAACGTTGCTAGAAATAAAATCATTTATAAAATAAAATAATATTAATGAATTTTGATAATTTAGTTGATATTAATATGTGTATGTACTTAGCCAACGCCGACATCATGTTCTTTCAGGACCTTCATACAATGACTTCAGCTAATTTGGAATGTAATGAATAAGTCACGTGATAATCACGCTTCAAAGTAAGCGGACTACACACTCACGCTCAGTTGTAAATTTTAGATTCCGACTGTTCTTATCATCAATTAGACCAGCATTAAACGCACAATCGCGCATGGTTTCTATGGCTATGATATCGAATTCGGCCGGAATCTATGAATAAGTTTATCAAATCAGAATAAGCAGAATTGGAAACGTACCGAAACAATCAGTTCTTAAAATACCGTCATAACAATCAAAACTTGACTATAAAATTCAACGAATTTTTAAAGTTTCTTTCATAACTTTTCCCATTTCTCGAAGATAATCCGTGATAGCCTTTTTGAAATCCAGACCTTTCGGTAATTGCGGGGTGATTTGTTATTTTCCATTTTACCTAGATAATTTAAATATTTCCACGGGTTTAACATTGCAGGATGTCCTTTTTCTACTTGGTCGTTCGGCTAATGCGGAGTTTTAAAACGACCAGTAAAATCTTGCCAATCATCGTGCGCAATTATTTCTTTTGGATTCGATTTATTAGCATAAGCGAAGCCCTGTATGTTATTAATAATATGAACAATTTTATTTTTTAAACGAAAATAACATATATTATCGAGAATGTAGTTCCGAAATCTTAAAATTATAAAATAAAAATGAGTTTTAAATAAATGTTTCCTTAAATATTTAATAAATTAATTACACACCTAGAGTGAAAAAAAAAAAAATTAATAATAATAGCAAATCCTTTTTTTTTAAAAAAAAAAATGATACAGTGGTGTGCAAAAAAAATGAACTTTTTTTCGAAAAATGATCAACTGGCGTAACTTACCCAATTTTGGTCAGA